CAGCATGAACCACAGTATGGAGTGTGGGTTGGCAGCTGGAGAGGTGCCAGTTCACTTCCTGGGCACTGCTGAGGTGCCCTTTAGCAAGGCACCATACCTCTTACTGCTCCCAGGGTGCCACTGGGTGGCAGCCTTCTCACTCCATCTCCCCACATTTGTATGTCCATGAGCCCTGTGTGTGCATGTGTGATCTTAAGGATTTTATTATTGTTTATATGTGTGTGAAAATAACAAATATAGTAAAACAAGTCCCCACACATAGACAAACTCACACACACTTGCTTAGCTTCTTGTGTGAGAGCGGGCCCACTGAGGATTGGACAGAACCAGAATTCATTTGATTACTGAGAGAAAGAAACTAGAAACACGCAGGTAGTGTTTTTCCACCAAATTAGCTCTGGTTCTTGAACCGGTTCAGTTAAAGATACTTAGATTGGTTCCACCAGTTTTGAGCAGAACCATAGTAATCAAGGATGCATCATCAACAAAGGGCGTTGCATAATGCACAAGAACCTGTAGAATATGGCACACACACTTTGGTTTCCAAGGGAAACCAGGTATTTTTTGGTTCCAGCTGCGAACCAACTTTTTGGTTTCCGAACCAATTTATTTTTGGTCGAAATGCTCCACAACGGTTAGGTGAGTTTCTGTCTATAACTTTCTTGTAACAGTTTATACAAAAATAGGGCTGAACACCGAATTGATGCTCCCACAGAATATTTGGGGCAGTTTGAATGTTTGTGCAGTGTGTAGTTGCTGCTCAAACTGGTTTTCACAGGCAGTGCAGAGTCTGCTCTCCTCCGTTCATCAGCTTCTCCCTGCAGATGGATGCTTGTTAGATTACCTCTCTTGCTCCTGGGGACTCTGATACAACCTCTGATTGGATAAAAAAACTCCACTTTCTACGTTCTTTATTAGGATCCCAGTCTCCACTAACCTCCTTTTACATAGCTCATTTGAAATCCTTGTAATTATTATATGTGGCACTAAATGGAAATGGAGCACATGTGTGTGCATGTGTGTGTGAGACAGAAGGAGGGGGGGCACATATGTAAATAGACTGTTTTGCATATAAAATGCTTTAGCTTCAATATTCCAGAATAATAAATTGCTCAAAGTTAGAGACAGCGCATACGGCCCAGGGCTATCCCGGAGTCATTAAGTAGCCGAATGTAGTGAGGCGGACATAAAGCCAGTAATTCAATGATGGCCGCAGCTATAATGGAGAATTTACATGGAGATAAAATCCAGACAGTGGGACGAGGAGGTGAGAGGGTGACAGTGAAAGACAGGGAGGGACGAGAAGCATTAAGAGACAAAGGAAAGGGAGTAAAGAGGAGGGTGGAAGAGAAAGAGGCATGGGAGAGGGGTGGGAGGGGGCAGTGTGATGAGGCAGTGAATGAAAAGAAAGAGGATAAGGTGAAGTGGGGAACTTACAAATGAGGAGTAGGCCAGAGCCACGACTCCAGCTGCTACTTCAGCGATGAATATGATGAGGATGATGGAGAAGAACTGCAGGGGGGGAAGAAGAGGAGACAGGGAGATAATTTTTCTCTTAATATGAGAATCTTTTATCTTTTATCAAGCAGTTTTCCAAAAGTGTAAAAAAAGGTAAAAAATATTTTTTTATTTTGTAATTTGTCAAGCAAAAATGCCAAATATTCGCTGGTTGCACCTTAATTATGAAGATTTAATGCCTTCTTGTTTGTCATATCCAAAACTAAACTGAATATATTTAACCACTATTTGTCACTACTAATAATATGAAATACAATACAATGCAATAATAATATAAAAAACTTTTTGTTTACTCAAATCATAAAAACACAAATTAAACAAAAAGTTTGGTTTACTCTCTTTGAACTCATAGGTCTCTAAGCATCAGTTGTGACAACATCGTGCTCGCCAAGTTAAATCTTCTGGAAACAGGATGTAACAGTATAATGAAGTCAGATGGGTCAAGAAACACCAGCAGTCAAACAATAAAACAGGTTGGAAATAAGCCACTTTACTCAGATTATCTAAACCACTTATTTGGAGGTGATGTAAATAAAATACATTAAACTGGACCAGTTTCTATTCCAGCTTCTCACATTTTTAATGACCTTTTATACATTAAACAACTGATCTAATGATATAAATAATACAGATAATTTTAGGTTGCAGCCCTAGATCAGAATAAAAATAGATTTAGGTAAACCAACATCTTGTGGTGTACATACAATTGACATCCTGATGGTTTTCTGTATAAATAACATTTCATTATATATTTTTTTTAAATCTGTGGAGTTTCTAGTTTATCTGGACATTGGGAACATACCTTATGCATTTTTATTTGCATGAAAAGGCACAAGTGTGCTTTGCTTACTGTCATTAAGAGCAGATTCCCTTTTGTCAACATTTGCTCCTATTAAGACTCCAGTACCAAGGATTGGCTTTTTTTATTAAAGATTGCATTTGACCTAACAGTCCAGAGCCTTTCTCAAAAACTAAACTCTAAATAAATAAAATAACTTAAACTTCAAACTCAAAAAAGCTGATTCTGAGGTTTGTAACCCATCTGAATTTCCAGGGTCCTGTTAAACAGCTATTGTTGTACCTAACAATCACACACTGTTGATAAAGCTTGGCAGATTACACAGAGGGACAATAAGGACAGCCGAAATTACCTGTTCTATCAGCTCATCTGTTCTTTTTATTCAGTCCATTACAGCTGTTTCTCCCGTGAGCCAGCGTCCTGCGCTATCAATTGCAGGATCGGCTGCACCGTCATCATTCAACTCAATGGGAGATGTGGACATGATGGGGGCTCTATGGGGGGAAATGAGTCGTCTGTGCTCCTCATTAGACTCACTACAGTGGACTAAGAGGTAGTTAGCACCGTCGTTAATGAGCATAATAATGTACACTGTAGTGTTCGGGGGTTGGTGGCATTGCTGATACGAATGAGGCGGGAGGGGAAGCTGTGGATATTAACTGAGCTGTTGCTGAGCTCGGTGTAAATGCAATGATGGGTGAGATATTGAATGTGGAGCAACTGGATGTGAAAGAATCTCCTGAAGCCATGCTTGATCTGTGTTGTTTTACATTGTCAGTGGTTGAACTCTTTTTAAGGGCAACAAGTCACAATACACAAGTAGATGACGGAAATGTACCAGCCTTGCTACATGGTAGTTTTACTGTATACACACCTTGAGAAATTATCGGTGTTAAAATACATGGAGCACAATTGCCTACTTGAACATCCAGCAGACACATTATCATCATCATTTGTGTTCACCTGATGAATGTAAGTCCTATATTTGCACTCATCGTAGTCTGATCTCCACTTACTCCTGAGGGAAATGTCTGGCTCTTTAGATGTTCCACTTTCTTTACCAGCTAGTCTCTAACTGTGTTTGCTGTTTGGTCATGGGCAGGCAGTCTACAGTGGGTTTACTGGAGCTTGTTTGATGTAGACAGCTGCTTCTTCTGAACCAGACAGAAAATGTCCTGCATAACTAGAAGCTACAAGACACTAGAAAGCTCAGTAGAGCTGCAGATTTGAAGATAATTCTCTGAGTTTGTCATTATACACGGTCATTTAATTTATTGTTAAGAAATATGGAGTAGTGAAGCTTTGTACTCAAGCTCAAGATGGATTTTCCAATACCATTGTTTCAAACATTGTGGTGTGGCTGCTTATTAAATGTCTGTTGTTAACACAACTAGCTAACGCACTATTTTTGCATGGAGTTCAAACTGACGTCAGAACTGAAGAACTTAAAGAGCTCATTGTACCCTATTACCCCACTAGAACACTGCGTTCTCTGAATGCAGGGCTACTTGTGGTTCCTATAGTCTC